CGGAAGGTAAGGAGATCCGGAATTATCCAAATCTCGGGGGGTAGTTCGTTCCAGAGGGTGGGGGCACCCACAGAGAAGGCCCTCCCCCTGGGGGTCGCCAGCCGGCACTGCTTGGCCGACGGCACCCTGAGGAGACCCACTCTGTGGGAGCGTACCGGTCTGTGGGAAGGAATCTGCGGCAGAAGGCGGTCTCGGAGGTCTCCCAGCATTCCCTCTCCTTGTCAACCTGTGGGAGTCCAATGGGGCACTGGAGCTCTTTAGATTTATTTTTGAAAGGGATACATAGAATTTGGGCTAATGTTCTCAAATTGGCCAACATAATCCCCAATTTGGTGGATTGATTCAATTCTAAGCCCCCAAATCAAATTTGTTCAAATTTGTTCAGATGAAAATGAGGAACAGACTGGCCTTTTCTTTCCGACCCAAACACAGGACATTCATTTTCTTCTGCTTGCAAGACTTTCCCGGGGAAATAGAATGAGACCTGAATGTGTTGCTCAATATTTTTTTTTAAACTACTTACTTTGGGGGTCACTGAAGATGGGGGATACTTCCTGACCCTTTTCTGGAAAGGATGGGTTGGCTATGTAGGATAGAAATAATATGGGGAGGAGGAACCCACAGAAACATGTTCAATGAAGACCCCCTTTGCCACTCACCTGTCCTCTGCAGACCCTCCTTCTTGTAGGACAGGTATCTCTGCAGCCACTCAAGGCAGGTCTCTTCCAGGAAGAATTTGTTTCTCTGGGACCATCCTGGATTTTCCTCCCACTTCTCCTTGAGCTTCTCGGCCTGGGGCTGAGCTGCCACCCATCTGAGTGTCTCCTTGTCGAAGCTGATGAAGTCCCTTCCATCGTAGCCATAGTGCAAAAACCCTCCTTTGCTCCCGTCTTCCCTGAGCTCACAGCCCCAAATCGTCTGCCAGGTGTGAATCCCTGAAGAAGATGCAAAGGGGGTGGTGGGTGTGAATGAAAAGGGTCCAGGATTCCTCTCCCTGGACCAGGGGTCCCCAACCCCCGGTCTGCAGACTGGTATCAGTCTGCAGCCAGTTAGGAACCGGGCCGCGCAGCTGGAGGTGCGCTGAAGGCACGTCTTCCACCTCTGGGCATGAGGCGAGACTGCAGGGTAGGGGTGGGAGAGTGGCTGAGCAATAACTGTCTCGCTCAGGGCAAAGGTCCTCCGGCAGCTGCACTTGCAACTGACTCCTCCTCCTGCTACTTTTTCTTTTTCCTCCTCCTCCTCTTCTTCCTCACTTTCCTCTTCTCCCCCTTCCAGCACCCCAGCTGAGTTTGTGTTCCCTTCATGCAACTCTCCAAGTTTGCAAGCCTACCCAGCTTGCAAAGGGGGACAGGAGAGGGGAGAAGCTACATTTCCCCTTACGCACTGTGTCTCCAAGGGAATCCCTCATTTGCTTCTTTTCCAAGACTGCTGGGCTAGCGCAGTGCCGAGTTGGTTTCCCCCCTCTCTCTCCCTCCCTCCCTCCTCTCTCTCCCTCTGCCTCCCGCCTCTCCCTTTCTCCATCTCTCCCTCTCCCTCTCTCCCTCTCCCTCCCTCCCTCT